GAAATACTCAGACCGGCCCGTCGGAATCCAACAACCATGCCACGCTCAAAATTGCTTAAATCACCTTTCTTTCCCATTCTGACATTCAGTTTGGAGTTCAGGAGATTGTCTTGACCAGTTGCACCACGCCCCTAAATGCATTGAAGCAACTGCCATGTGATTGGTTGATTAGATAATTGCATTAATGAGAAATTGAACAGGTGTTCCTAATAATCCTTTAGGCGAGTGTATATAGATACTTATACATGCCTTTATCTCATCTTGTCTGGACTATTGTAATGAACTATTCTCCTTGCTTAGTAAGTCTGCCATTGATCATCTTAAGTCAGTTTAGAATGCTACTTCTAGACTACTTGATATGTCAAATAGATGGTCTTGCATTACCTGATTTACACCCTGCTCTTCACTGGCTCCCTGCTGCATATAGGATTCAGATTAAAATGCTCATTCTTACTTACTGTCACTGCATGGTCAAGCCCCTGCATACGTGGCTGTTGTACTTCATCCTCGCTCACCTCTTGGTGACTTCTGTCTGTAAAAAGTGCTATACAAATAAATTTTACTTACTTGCTTAGTTTGAAGTGACTTACATATCTTACCATTAGGAAAAGTGTCCTCCATTTTTATTCCTATATGCAGTTTTACAAGTTACTGAGGCTCACTGGACTGCAATTTTCAGTTCATATCATAATTTTTCATTTGGAATGAAAATCCTCAGTCATGGAATCCTACCCTAAATGTAGATCTCTCTTTGAATGAATCAGACTTGAGGATTGGCCTGTATCCAGTTCCATCCATTTCATTTGGGTGGCCACAACCTTCCCAACCCCTTGAGCTGAAAAATAACCCTATAGCATGATGCTTCCGGATTGCAGGGATGGCATTCCTGCTTTGCTTTCCATCCAAGCAGTTCAACTTCTGTTCAGTTAAACCAGAATATCATCTTTTAGAGTATGCAGAGGTCTGCTACTTGGCTACTGGTAAATGCTGGAATGACTGTTATTCTTCCTGAGAAGCACTTTCACTCATGTTCTCACCATATTCTCAAAAGCACCAAATGTATGCAGAACTGAGCTTGATCTCTGCATAACATTTCCTCATATTAGCCAATTAACTGTCAGTGTGTTTATTGGCCACTCGACCACGTCACTGACAACTACACTTTTCATCCAAATATTCAATATGAATATTTGCTTTATCATAGTAGTATCTCCAGGTTTTGCTATATTTTATCTCTGAGTTGTCAATACCTAAAAATTACGTATAATACCAGAAGTCATTAAAATTATTATTTTCTGTCTGCTTTCGGTCATATTTTAGCACAACAGACTGACTGACAATTCAAAACTTAACAAAATCAAATACAATACTGTATTTTACCGAGAGAAAAATGTTGAAACAAGCTTATAGGTTTGGAAAAAAAAATCCTTCTTCCTTTTACAGTCCATTTCCTGAATTTCTCCCTCCATTCTTTTCTCGCCATGTGCATCCTGTCTATAAGCCTGCTGTTTTCTCCCCATTTCCCCTGATATCTGTGCCTGGATGCTAATGTGGCCTATCCTCTGTGTGAGGACTGAAGGCAGCTGTATGGGCCTCACTGACCCCACTCTACTCGGACCCTGCCAACTGTGCAGAGCAGTGTGATCCCACTTCCTGTACATTACCCAAATAGTGGCCCTACTTCAACATTTCAGTCTTGTTTCCTTTTGGGGGGGGGGGGGGTTATTGGACATGCAATCCAGCATATACAATATTAGACACATCAGTCAGGGTTGTCCTATGATATATGTGGTCTCTCTTGGGTTCTTCAGGACCTACCAAGCAGCATTTCTTTAGCTGAATTTGATTTTCATAATTCAAACTTCTTTCAAGAAGAGATACAGTGGGCTAAAAAAGTATTTGACCCCTAGAGGAATTTTAAATTTCTTGTAATGTAAGAAGTTTAAAGATGGCAATGGTGCAAAGAAGATTGCCGAGCTCCTTAGCCTCAGTGAGTCCACTGTGAAGGCCATCATAGTGAAGTGGAAGAAAACGTGACCCGGCCTAGGTCAGGCTGCCCTGTTAAAATAACAAAGAAAATGTCAAGGAAACTAGTCAGAGAATTAAGGTGACTCTGTCACCTGCAAAGCTCAGTATCTGCAGCTGGAGTGGACGTGCACAAGACCACAACATTGAAGATTTTGCACAGAGAGGGGCTGTATGGCAGAGTTGTCAGAAAAAAGCCACTACTAAAAAAAATGTCATCTGAAAGCTTGATTAGAATTCGCTAACAGACATATTGACAAGAGTCCTGCATTCTGGAGTCATGTACTTTGGTCTGATGAGACCAAAATTGAACTTTTTGGCCTCAACACAAAGACGTTTGTCTGGTGGATGGAAGGGACTGTCAATGATCCTACTGTCAAACATGGTGGGGGGAGCATCATGCTTTGGGGCTGCTTCTCTAGGGCAGGCCCTTGTCCGTATTGAAGGAAGAATGGATAGTAAGAAGTATATCCAGATTTTAGAAGAGAACCTTCAAACGTCAGCCATCAAATTGGGACTTGGACGACGCTACCGCTGTTAGCGGGACAATGACCCGCAACAATGTGCAAAAGTAACCAAACCCATGGTTTGACAAAAAGAAGATCCAGGTTTTGCAGTGGCCTAGCCAGAGTTCAGATCTGAATCTGATTGAAAATTTGTGGCGTGATCTCAAAATTGCAGTTCACAAACAAAAGCCTTCAAACTTGGCCCGGTTAGAGCAGTTCTGCAAGGAAAAATGGGAAAAATTGCTTCCATCCAGATGTGCTAAGCTTGTAGTTGGCTATCCAAAGCTATTGCAAGCAGTTATTTCCGCAAAGGTTGCTGCAACCAGGTATTGACTGTGTCATGTGAAGGGGTCATTTACTTTTTCAACAGCATTTTTCAAAACATGACTGTCAATTTGCATTTATTTAGTTCACCAAGCTCTAAGTAGCAAAACATGCGCAGAGAAATAAAAGTTCACTGATACTTTGCATTTGTGATTTTTATAGGTTGTAATGGTGTAATATGGAAATACAGTGGCTTTCCAGAGGGGGTCTAATACTTTTTCAACCCACTGTAATTCACATGCTGAAGTACCTCACAGCAGTGGATGATGGAGATGTCATTGTCTGTACTGAAAGTTCTCCGCCGTGCAAGTTTCACAGGGAGAACCGGAATGTCTGCCAAATGACCATGTCTAACATACGCAGGTAGATTACACACCATTTGTAAAAAGGTATTTCATTGTTTCTCTGACTTTAGATGCTGTAAATTGATTTGCTGTTTGGGAATGTGTCCAAAGTAATTAAGCTCTAGCTGTGTTATTTTTGATTTGTATGTACTTATCTAGTAATTATTTACCTGGTGGGAAACACTGATCTACAGAAATCAAACCTACAGCCTGTGTTTAAATTCATATGGATTCTTTGTTGACTGTAATACCTTTATAAGGAGAGGTAGTTAGAGGAAAGTGTTCTGCCCTGCATATGTTTTATACCTTAAAGATATTGAATTGTCTGTTGAAAAGTTTGAGATGTTAGACATGAAAATGGTACTGGCCCTTTTATTTTGAAGCCTGTGATGACAGAGGAAAAAAAAAACAGGAAACAGGAAGTAGGAAGAACTGTAAAAAAGATGTAAGGTGTGGTTGCATGTGGGCAGTTTCTGCTGTGCAATCTAATTCAATCCATGGTGTGCATCCTTCAGAAGGCAATGGCTGTGAGTGTTATATATTCTTTACATGTTTGACATTTGTTAGTAACTAGTTTTTGGACAATTTTGGTATTTGTGTGAACTTTAACAGCTTAATGTGTACTGTAGTGCTCGTTAATTATCATCATTGTACACTATGTTTATGTTAATGTCAATCATCATAACTATCCTTTATATACCTAGTGGTTTACAATGTTAAGCATTCTGATTTACATGTTGCTTATATAGGAGGCCCTAAGGTCATTTTGTATCTTTTTTTTTCTTTTCTTTAGTTTCACTCCAATTCAATGTTGTCATCTTGACTTATCTGGTGTATGAAGTCATTAAAGGAGCAAGCCCGCTTTCTTACCTGACTCTTGAAAAGGAGTTTGTGCTGGCTGTTTATCTATGTTAACACTTCGGAGGTAAAACACATAGAGAGAACAGTACAGAAAGCATTCAGTGAAAACAGGGTAGGGATCTTTGAAAAGGAATTGTCCAATTCAGTGAATTGACATCTGTCACAGTAAGTACATTCAGGACCATAGTGTCCTTTCCCTGGGACACCTATGTGTCACGATCCGCTCCGTTCGATCCCGATGTGTGCCACGCCCACCTCGTTACCTCGTGTGATTCCCTGATTGTTCTCACCTGTGGCTCGTTACCAGCAGTGATGGGAATAACGGCGCTATAAATAAACGGCGAAACTTTTTTCAGTAACAAGTAATCAAACGAATTACTGTTTCCCCCGTTACAACGCCGTTACCGTTACTGACAATAAAATGCGCGTTACTATAACTGAGAACACTGAAGCGGTTTTCATGCGAGCAGTGTCTCTCTCAGCCATAGGACCTCTCTTTCTCTGGGGTGTGTGTGTGTTTGTGTGTGTTCGGGGCCGGGGCGGGACACATAACCAGTGATGATGATTGGTGTGTCTGCACACGTGGTGTAACTGAGAACGCGATGATTGGCTTAGATTGAGTAAATTTCCATTGTTTACCAATCAAAGGCAGAGTAGTGCAGGTGATCACACAAAAGGACACGCACGGTCAGTTGCACACACCAACATCCAGGAATCACAACGATGGCAAGTCCAACAAATTCAAAGGTAGCTTTTGCAAACTGGAAATATAAGCACTACTTTTCCCTCGCTGAGGTGAAAGGCAAAAATGTTTATGTAACAGGAAAAAAGAGTCTCTCTGCGTCGGTAACAAGTAATTCTAATCTACTGATTAACTGAAGCACCTCACATCGTCACATGCCGCCACAAAATTAGTGGCTAAGAACGCAGGTGATAACGTGAGCTCTGCTACCAAAGGACATTTCTACATTTCTTCAGAAGCATAATTTATATTTAGACTTATTTGTTGACAAGTTGTGGTCTGTGCAATAAATATTTAAAGTTCTAAACCATCTATTGTGCTTTACTGTTCCACTAAAGTAATGATAATATTTATAATAATATGTTGAATTTGATAGTTGTCTCTCACGTTGTCCCACAACAACATTAAAATAGTGTAGATTAGTGTACAATGTTTTATATTTATAGTTATATTAAATTTGTTTTTTTTTTTTTAAGTAACGCAATAGTTACTTTGCCTGGTAATTAGTTACTTTTATAATGATGTAACTCAGTTACTAACTCAGTTACTATTTGTGAGAAGTAACTAGTAACTATAACTTATTACTTTTTTAAAGATACATGCCCAACACTGGTTACCAGTAGCTTGTCTTTTGTATATAGTCCTTGTCTCAGTCAGTCTACCCAGATCCGTCATTGTAGTGTCTGTGGATGTTCGTGCCTGTTTACCCTCCGTCTCGAATAAAACCCTGTTTGCCCGACTTCATGGCTTCGCTCGCCTGCTTTCCGGCTCGCCCGCCCCGCACCCTGACAGAATGACTGATCTCTACAACAATTCACCGCAGCAAGCCGAAAGCCAACGGATCGGCTTGCTGCAAGAGGTGATTTACTGGCTGTCCCAACCCGAGGTCCAGGAAGACCCCGTAGCCCGGGACATGGCCAGCCGGAGCGGAGACCTCCTGAGCGAGGCACCCCCTCCTGGAAACGCGTACCCCCTGCAGGAGGTACGCGAGAATCTTCGGCTGCTAATACAGCGGATTACAGACCGGAGAGCCCAGTTGGTCGCGTTGTGCTGCGCTGGGGCTGCTGTACCGCCTTCTGTCCTCACAGAGACGGCGCAGCCGCTTCCTTCCACCGCCACAAGCCGGAGGCGGAAGAAGAAAAAAAGAGAGCAGAGACAGAAGGAGGACCTGACAATCCTCCTGGGAGCTGCCTCTCTTTCCCCAGCATCGTTTCCTGCTAGTCTTCGGGGGGAAGCCCTGATCGCTCCGGACGTCAGCCCTGATCGCTCCGAACGTCAACGCCACTGCGAAGGTGCCTTTGCAGGCAGCTTCTCCCTTCCGGGAACGCGGCTAGCCCTTAAAGGGGCCAGGGCCATCTGGGATGCGATTCCCCGAATCCCAAGGTCCTTAAAGGGGCAGCGCCAGCACGCCCGGCGCCAATCCTGGCGCCTATTTCGGACCTGCCTGCTCCGGACTTGCCAGCAGCACCTGCTGCTACTGCCGCCGCACTGCCCGCGGCAATGCCTGACCCGCTCGTCCTGCCTGCGGTTCCTGCAGCTGCCGTCGCCGCTCTGCCTGAGGTGCCTGCTACGGCGCCCCTGTCCTGCCCGCGGCCCTGCCTGAGGCCGCCTCTCTGCCCGTCCAGCCTGCACCGGACCCGCCTGCTCCTAACCCGCCTGTTCCCGTCCTGCCCGCAGCTCCAGCTGCACCGCCTCCTGCAGCTGCCACCGCTCTGCCTGCGGCACTGCCCGAGGTGGCCACGGATGTGCCCCCTGCTGGCCAGGAACTGAGGGTGCCCGCTGCAGCCACGCCCGAGGACCCGTAGCGCCCCCTGCTGGCCAAATGACTGAGGTGCCTGCCGAGGCGCCCCCTGCTGGCCACACGCCCGAAGCGCCTGCCGAGGTGCCCCCTCCTGATCTGCCTGTCTCGCCTGTCCTGCCGGCGCCTGATCGGCCCGGCTCTCCCGTCCAGCCCGCGGCTCCGGCTGCACCGCCTGCGGCCGCGCCTGCTGCCTCACCAGAGGCCCTGCCTCTAGTTTCCCCAGCCCTAATGACTCCCTCGCCCTTGCCCCGACAAGGCTGACGCCCCCCCGGGACCCCGCCTTTCAGTGTCCCGCAAAGGACGGGGACACAAGCGTCGGGCCCTGGTCCCGCCCGCCCTACCCCCTGGGTCGCCCGTTCGGCCCCTGGCTGTGGCTCGGTGGCTGCCTGCGGGTCCTGCGGCGCCGGTTCGGCTCTCGCCTCCGGGTCCCCCTCCGGTGCCTCGTCGCCCACCTGCGGTCCCTCCGTCGGTGCCTCGTCGGCTGCCTCCGGCCCCCCTGCTCCGGCTGGGCGTTGGACGGCACCTTCCCTGGCTCCAGCTGCGCCTTCTCCTGCGCTGTTGTTCCCTCCCGCTCCCTCCTCGTTTCCTTTGTCAGTCCCTCCGTCTGTCTCCTTGCCCCCTGTGTGGTCCCTGCCGGCTCCGGCCTCCCGTCCGACTGTGGCCCCTGCGGCTGCCTTCCCTCGCCCGCCTGAGTTCCCTCGGGCTCCCCTTTTTCCTCCGTCCATTCCTGTCTGGTCTCCCCTGTCTGCTCCTGGTCCCTTCGTCCCTCCTGTCTCTGCTCCTCGTCCCTCTGTGCCTCCCGTGTTCACTCCTGGTCCTTTTGTTCCTTCTGTTTCCGTCCCTCGTCCCTCTGTATCTCCTTTCTGTCTGCCTGTCTGCGTTTCCTGTTTTGTCAGGTCCTGTCTTTCTGTTGGTCCTTGTTCCTATTCTGTGTCTCTGTCCTGTTTCCGGGGTGTCGTTGATGTTTTTGCTTTTGTCTTCCAGGTCCTGTTCCCCGGTCTCGTCCATCGCCTCCCCTCGGGCGCGCATTTGGGGGGGGGTTCTGTCACGATCCGCGCCGTTCGATCCCGATGTGTGCCACGCCCACCTCGTTACCTCGTGTGATTCCCTGATTGTTCTCACCTGTGGCTCGTTACCAGTAGCTTGTCTTTTGTATATAGTCCTTGTCTCAGTCAGTCTACCCAGATCCGACATTGTAGTGTCTGTGGCTGTTCGTGCCTGTTTACCCTCCGTCTCGAATAAAACCCTGTTTACCCGACTTCATGGCTTCGCTCGCCTGCTTTCCGGCTCGCCCGCCCCGCACCCTGACACTATGGCTCTGGTTTCACTAATATTCATGAATGCTATGTCTTAAGTAATGCAGGGACAGGCCAACTGATAGAATATCAATTACAGAAAGTGCAATATTATATTTTTATATTATGTAAAAATAATGAGAATGTTTAGTATAAAAAGAACTTTTACCTTTAAAGTAAAGTAGCCAAATCAGTATGACCACAGGTGTTAAAAACCAAATATAGCAACAGCAATGAAATTAAAATGAACAATTAATATTTCTAATTGTATCATGCTCAAATTTGTTTAAAAGTACCTGTGAATCACTTTATGAAATCTATGACTTTTAAAAACATATTGATGCATATTCTTGATTGAATAAATTTAGTATATATTCATTTATTATGAAAGTGAGTACGCATTATTAATACCTTCAAAACTCAGTAATGATATTCTTTATGCATTCAATTAATACTTGTAACTGCGGCTTTAAGCTGTCAGAGTCATTTAGCATAAAGTGGGGGAGCAGGGAATGAATTGCACTTTTGACCACGTGCAGTCTGAGTAGTTGCATGTTAGACAGATAAAGAAGGGAAAGCGCTGTTTCCTGCCTCAGCATCAATCATTCATCAGTGCTGAGTACCATAAAAGCCTTAGTGGCAGGGATGTAAATGATAGAGGATACTGGATCACTTCACCAGGGTACTCAGAATTCATGTATGAGAAATCATTGGAGTTTCTAAATAACTCCTTAAAATCTACATTATCTGTAAAACGTTTTGTTCTTTTTACAGATGCAAAAAAAAGATTAGAGTTCTGCACTCAATAAAAGGCACTATTGGAAAGGATTGCGGAAAACTATTCCGCTAAGGCACTACTTTTGAGTGTGTGAGCATGTTTTCAGAGGGACGCTGTGACATTCTTTCCATCCGCTCTTCCTCTCCATCCTGTTTGTATTGACGCCACCGCTAACCTGCATCCTGTGCGTCATAAGACAGCACACCACAGCAGTGGCTCTGCCCACCCGGCTCATGTGACTCGGCCTGTCTCTGTCAGTGACCCTGGTGCCCATTTCCACATATTGTGCTGCGATTCCTGCCCCCATGCCTTCAGAAAAGCAGCTCATTTTAATGGACAGCTGGTGGGCACCTGGAATCATAACACAGTAATACTGACAGATACTGCTGCACGTACATGTTAAAGGGGTTATGGGAACAAAGCATGTCCTGCCATTTAACGTTAGTTGGCTGCTATCAGCACTTGGGAAGTTTGAATGATGAACATGCTGGGACTTGCTGTCACAATACTTACCTCCAGCCATCATGCAGACTCGCTTGTCCTTACATCTGCTTTTAATATCTCATTATTTGCTCTCCACTTACATGGTGTGAAGTCCAAAAGGTGCGACAGCAAACAGGATGTTATGTTCATCTGCTGCTGGCTGACGCACCAGCTCTGTAACTGCCCTTATTCATATATTTCTGTTATTCATTTCTGATAATATAACAATCTAGCTCTGTCTAGTCTAGCGTGTCTTCTTGAATTAATCTCTCTGGACAATTTCAATGGGCAAAAACCTAAGGAACAAAAAATGTGGGAAAGCTAAGAATACAAAATACTCTTTGGGAAGATAAATTTAAATTCTGGTTGGATGGTACTTGTTTGAAATGAGAGATCATGATTTTAGTAACTAAATAAGTAGAGGTTCATGTTATAAAAGTTCAGTTATCTATCTATCCATCCATCCATCCATCCTTAGGGCTGTCAAAATTAACAGGTTAACGCGGATTAATCCATCATCTTGATTAATCAGATTAAAATGTTTAACGCAATTAACCCATGTGCAGCGCAGAATGACTCAAAATCCCTGAAATGTCTCTGTCAACCCATTTCGGGCAGTTTTGGTGCGTTCCATTTGCCCTGGGAACTCGTATTCTGAGTTGGATTCTGAGTTTTGAAGCCAGAAGTGACGACATGCACGCTCCCCTTTCTCGGAGATCCAAGAAATATCTCGGACAGCACAGAGGATCCTGAGTTCAGAATATAAGATGGCTGCGCTTTTATCAACAGAAGGGAAAGTTGAAGTTTTATACTGTTTAAGCACTACTTCTCATTTGTGGCATATTAAATCAGTCGCACACACTATACCGTCCAACTTATTTGTGGACGTGTTGCTACGGAGTTTTATACGTAAAGCACCGCACATAGTGTGTTAACTGATATTGCTAAAAATGGAAATTAACCAGGCTAGAATTGGATTTCATGATTAGTTGGTTTATTTGTCAGATTTACGGTCGTTCGGGCTAATTGTAAGTGAATGAAGATAAGAACATAAGAACTATACAAAAGAGAGGAGGCCATTCGGCCCATCAAGCTCGCTTGGGGAGAACTTAACTAATAGCTCAGAGTTGTTAAAATCTTGTTGTTAAAGACTATTTAAACTGAGGTACCTTAAATCCGACAAGTTGTCCAGCTAAGCAAAAGCAAAAAACCTTGCTTTTTGATATGGGTCCATGGTATTGCACTTCTGTGGCAGATGGAATGCATCCAACTCATGTTCAAAATGTTCAATAAACATGTTAAGTGCATATATATTCCCTTTTTTCTTGAGTCTGTTTTGCTCATGCAAAATGAAATGCGATTAATATAGATTAAAAATGAATGATATTTAATCATGATTAATCTAAATTAATCCACAGCAACCCTGTGATTAATCTGATTAAAAATTTTAATCGTTTGACAGCACTATATATATATACACATTTCAAATTAATGGATTATTAAATGCCATATCAACAGAGAATTCACTTAGTTTGGCATAATTATGTTGGCTTGAAAAAGCCATACTGTTATTAATATTTCTTCTTCACCCCCAATTTTCTAAACGCTTCAGCCATCAAACTTTCCATACTACTTTATCCTATACCTTTGTGCTTTTATAAGCTCTTGCACCATCCATCCTTCAAGGTTCCGGCAAACACCCCATTTTTCCCATTGACTTATACTGGGAGGATTTTTGCTGCTGCCCCTCTCGAAGATTTAAGCTAAACCCACCAAACTTGTGTCACACAGTCATGGGGTTACACTGAAGCGACTGGCAAAAATTTCGTGGACACCCACAATCCTGGGTCCTTTCCTGCACCAAAACAGATTTCAGCCAATCATAGAAGAGATATGTAGAAAATCTATCAGTCATCAATAATGTCATCATTTTCTGTTCAATTATGCCTTCTGCCATTCTAGAAACACTTGAACTGCTGACATTCTCAAATGTTTGATGGCAGGGTCCACATATTTTGCACAGTAGGTCAATGGGTGCCTGCAATTTCAGGCTCAAAAAAGTGGCCGGTGGCACCAACAGCCAATCAGAGTTCACTCTTTGACTTTAATGGGAAAATTTAAACTGCTACCATTGTTCCCCAAACTTTGCAAAGTTGATAAATGAATGACTGTGGTACAAGGAACAAAAAAGTGGATGGAGCCTCCAACAGCCAATCAGAATTCACTCATTGATTTTAATGGGAAAACTGAAACTGCTGCCTTTGTCAAAATCTTGATGGCAGGAACCCCAAACTTTGCAAAGCTGGTCAATGAGTGAGGGGTGCAAGGTTTACAAGTGGGCAGACCCTCCAATAGCCAATCAAAATTCACACAGTTTAATGGGAAAATTACAGCTGCCACCATTGTCACACTTTTGATGGCTGGTTCCCCAAACTTTCAACGGCTGTCAATGGCTGACTGCGGCTAAAGATTGGGGAAGGTGGGAGAACCCTCCAACAGGCAATTAGATTTCATTCATATTAATTTAAATTTAAATAGCTGTTTTTTTCAGCCAACATGAAGTTAGAAAGTGAACATGAACTAGTTACCATTATTATTACTTAAATATAAATGTACTGTGTAGAATACACAAGACGGACACTTTTTTCACGTCACAAATTTATCACTTGTACAAAAATAACTATTCAATACATCAGAAATAAAATGCAACAAGTGACAGACACGCCTATACCGAGGTCTAGTAATTATGGTAATGCTATGTCAACTTATAATACCAAAGTATAATCTTCCCATACTGTAAAATCAAAGTTAGAGTATAATACAAATTACATGTAGAAATGTGGTTTCTGGAAATTCAGAATGAAGGATTGAAAAAACAATATGCAAATGTCAAGGTCACAGAAATAAATTACAGTACATCGTTCTTATTTTGTTACCACTAGTATAAAGCATAGCTAAACCAAAACAAAGATTAAATATTAGATGACTTCTAGGTGAACATAAGGCCCATAAGAATGATGTAGAATCAGATAAAGCCATTGAATTAAGCTGAAAACAAGTCAGGCTGCAAAAAATAGCAAGACTTAATTTGACTGATATGTCTATATCCACCCTTTGCAGAAGCTCGTCAATATATTAATATCAAATGACTTAGAAAAAATGTATCCATCCATCCATAGCTACTTGTCCTATGCAGAGTCGCGGGGGTCTGGAGCCTGTTCCAGAAGCTATGGGCACAAGGCAGGGAACAAACCAGGATGGGACATCAACCCATCACACTCCAAGTCACCTCAGCATGTTTTTGGACTGGGGGGGGGGGAATTGGAGGACCCAGAGGAAACCCCATGATGACACTGGGAGAACATGCAAACAAAAAAAAAAAAGGAAAGGAAAATACCGGTAAAAAGGGAGACTGGATATCTGAGTACTTCACTTAATTTTTAAACAGTGTTTGAATGTAAGAAAAAGAGAGAGAACATATTCAAGAATCTTTTCATGGCATGCTTCCCTCCAGCAGGCAGCAGCGAGGAGAAAGGTGAGCTGACAATCATATGGGCATCACAAACTGGAATTCAAGCAGGTCACGGGGGAAAGGGCAACGTCACCTAAGCAACCACACGTCTGCACCACCAAGCTGATCCCAATATACTGACTTCTGACAAGAGAGAGATTTCAGAAAACATTTGGATGGATCAAAAATATGCAATTAGCATGGTCTTTTTAAAACAGCATCAAAGTCTAGCACTCCACACAACATTATTATAAGAAAGACATTCACTGATTATTCACCTTAAAATGAGGTCAGTAAAATCAAAGCCAATGTCATACAAAACAATGGGGGTGTGGTCAGTGAATGAAGGAAAATTCTGAAACGGCACGCAAGCAGTTTATTCAGGCAAAATATAAAAGGCACTTGTTTCATGATTGGTTTTGACTGCATGCTCTTGGGTCTCATGTGAAAGTGTTTCAAATGTTCTGGTGCTGGAGCCAAAAGATTTACAGTATCTTGATGTTGAAGAGCCTCTTATTGGACTTTCTGAGTCACAGGAAGTTAGAGCATCTTCTAGTGAGAACGGATGGACACTCATGGTGAAAGGTCCACCTTCACTTCCTGAATAACTGATGACCTGAAAAAGAACCATGGTTAAAATCAGGTTTTATATGTAAAATGATGGAAAGTCACCTAGCTAAAGACTATTCAACTCACTGATGATTTGTAAGCAAAAGGGTGTTTATCCACTTACCACTGTCCAACAGAGGAGTGTAACTGCTTTGTTTCCTCTACCATTATATTAAGGGGTGCCCCCCCACCCCCCCCAAAAGCTGTAAACCTAGGGGAAACACTGCACTGGCAAAGCATGTAGTAAATTTATATGACTAAAACAGTAAATTGAGCAAGTAAAAGATGAATTACAGGAATCATAATCACACAGTACAACATTTGAAGTAGGCAGCAGTTTCAATAGGATTTAGTAGGCAGTTGCATTGCATTTTATATTAATGTGTTAAAAATGTGCTAAAAATTATTGGAAAATGCCGCTTTGTCATCTACCCAACCACTTCAACCAATTAGATATGGACCAGGTCAGCAGAGATATGGAAGACTATTATGGGGTCAAAGTACAACTCCTCCGAGGGGGAAGTAAAATTAGTAAGCATTCTGGTTTTCCATTTTATTAGATTTCCCCAAGACAACAGACAAGTCACTTGAGAGAAACACAAATCATACACTGGAAATTCAGTTGAGTCCATGGGTCATGATACAAAGCCAGGTTCAGATGCATTTGGACAAGGTCATAATGGTTGGCTGAGGGTATACCGATTTCATAACACCAATAAAACTCAGAGAAGGGCATTTTGCAGGCTGTGCCATAATAAGAAAAGGAAGTAATGCTTTGTGTAATGCAAGAAAAAACAAAAATGATATCAATCTACATCGCTTAACCTTTTATATAAATACCACTTACTTAATAGGGACAAAGACTGTATTCATCCAATACTGGGGAATTTTACTTGTTACATATATAAAAACATATAAATAATAAATAAATAAGCCTACAAATAATAAAAAAACTAGAAAAAACAAACCAAGAGATACCATAAGAAACAGAAATAAGGAAAAGAGTGTGCACGATTACACATATTGCATAAACAGATGACCCTAATATAGTTACAGATATTGCACCGAGTGATATAAACATACGAGTTACATATATATATGTAATGGATATTGTACAGAACAATCATATAATTTGTGAACTTAAGGTCACTGCAGGTGTTATAAAGTCTTATCACCCTCTTATCTCTAAGTATTTTACTATTTTGACAACAACTAGTAGCACAGCGATTTGCAATTTTTGTAAAAGTTTTGAGAGGTGGAAGTAGTGTTTAGTGGAAAATTGCACTAAACAAAGTGCAACGTGAGTAATATGAAAAAAGCAATGGCTGATTTGCGAGTCGCCAGCTTGGGCTGTTTTACGCTGTTAAGTGTTAGTGACACTGTTGCCAGTGGGGGGAAAATTGTGGGGCATTTTAAGCATTTACTACTTGCGTATACTTGCTAGGAAGATATTCAAATTGAACTGCAAATGCCTCATAAATGCTTAAAATAAGACGTACAAACAAGGTGGAACAGTACATTATGTATGTTTCTAGTAGCCTAACAAACAAAGCTTTTTTTGGCATACAATTTTTAAATTTGTTTTTACTAGTTTAAAAAAGAGCTCTGATATTGGATGTTGGGTTCGTATTGGCAACAAAAAAAGTGGAATTGGCGCACCTATTTTGTGGCGGGAGCATGGGCTAGGCCACTCGGAGGCTGCTTCTGGGCCCCGTGTGGCCCACAGGCTGCCATCTTAATAGTCCGGCTGTAGACTCAATGACAAAGGATCAGGTTACAAGTGTACAAAGAGCTCGGCAGTAGACTGCATCAGTTTAAGGGAGCAACAGATCACAAAACTCACGGTTTGGCTTATATTAAGGTATTTGGGTCACAGTTCAAATAATTTTTCAGATCAGCAAAGACAAATATAACTTTGCTTTCCATTTATTACTTAAAGAACTGAAGGAAAACTCAAAGCAAGATATTTTTAACACACCCGTTTACATGAACACACAAACTGCTTTGCCTATATCTTTTCACCATAACTCTGCATCCAATGGAAGTCCATAGAGGACGTACATCATTGTCTTTTTCTGACTTATACAGAGATCACAACTTATTTTTCTCGTGATCTCAACATATTCAAAGTTGTTTTCTCAAGATCACAAAACAAGATATCTCGGAACAACAAAAGCAGTAATTAGTCACACAAACAGCATGTGTCATGAGAAGGAAGTGGATTTCACTAAAAATGCCATGGCTATCACTATCAAGCCATTTCATTTGTGTAGTTTTTTGTTATTGCATTCTCACATAACATCTAAAATTATCCCTGTGCCTTACATACAAGTGGGGGATTCTCTCTTGTTGTGAGAAATAATTTTAAGTTTTAAAAGTGACAGTGGCAATAAAACAATTTCAAATAATCACAATTAAAGTGTACATTTAATCCGTGGTTCACATGTGTTTGGGGGGAGGGGGGCGGGGTTGTTTGTATGGATCAGCTAGTGTGTTATGCCTAGGGTAGCCACCCGTCCCTTGTAATATGGGACGATGTCGTACTGGAACTTAACAGGCCCCGTATTGTACGGAATGATGGTGGCAACTCAAGTTGTACCACTAGTATGTTTATCAAATTTGTCAGTTACATGGACATTTATTGTAGGTGCTTGACATTCGTCCTGCTACATGAGATGCTTGAGCTCAAGAAATACAAACAGGGTTCACCAGAAACAAATAACGGCAGTGCAACGTATTTCTATAGCTTTCCAACCAGCATTAGCTGACTAGACTAAGGTAGACATATCAAGCCGTGGACCTTTGTTTTATCTTAAATTAGCGGAAAAGGTAGCAAATTATTAAAGTATATCTGATAATGTTATGTTATTATATTAAGTTATACTTTGTTTTGGTTAGTTACACCTGTGCCATTTTCACCACTTTTTTTGTTACGATGGACCTTACACCTAATGTTAAGGTAGTGCAAAATTTGTGTTATAGCTTAGTGCTACATTGAAACTATTTGTGTGGTGCAACCGATTATCTTTAGTAGTGCAGAAACTTGAACACAGGGGCATTGGGGCAATTTAAGTCCATCGTAGGCGACGATTGAACTGAGAGAAAATACGTCACGACACGACACAACATTTTTTCCCCTATGTATGTCTCCAACATGACACTTTCCCTACAGAGCATTGGCATAAAATGCCAAACAAGTAAAAAACAAGTGAATATTTAAGAGTAGAATACATGTTAACAACATGTAGTTAACATGTATTCTACACGTAAAAAATTAATGTGTAGAATACGCATAGAATACACGTTACAACACTTTAGCTATGTGTTAACATGTATTCCACATTTAGTCTACGCATTAAAGTTCATGTGTTTTTGACCTGTTTGGAGTTCCATACACTGGCATTAAAATATGTGTTTAAAAACCAGAGATGACATGCATTTTAATACTGTGCCAACACGGTAGAAATGAATGTGTTAAAGGTTTTTCAGTACTAAGATATACCGAGGCTAATACTTTTCTATTTAAGGGCAAAGGGTTCAGTCTGTAATGCATTATTTGTTGCTGTATCGTGTCTCGAGTTGTATTCTTATTACCATATAATGGCATTTCAGCTTTTAATCATAACCACCGATACTCAACATTTGTAGATATTTTAGCAAAGAGGTTTGTTTTGTCTGATATGCTGAATAATGTCTAAAATTGGAACAAGTGAAGTAAAAGGTAACAATCTGTGTAAATTTATCATTAAGTTATAAAGGTTTGTGCTAAAAGGCAAAGTATTTATGCATATCCCTGACATAAGTATATGTATGCATCATAAATGTCACAAAAGAATAAAATAAAATTTTATCTTGAAGTGAACCCAATATGTGTAAAGTTGAAATATTAGATGCTATAAACAAAAAAAGGTGTGTATGTGCATCTGTTATCTTGTGGACAATGCTGAGGAAATATTTTTGTGTGAGGTGCAATCGTGTGTTGTTTTGAGACGCCACAGGGATTTCACATAAACATTTAATGTGCTACCTGTGAAAAAAATTGCTCTGCTATAAATTTAGATACATAATGTGTAAAGTTCAATTTTGAGACAGTGTGAAAATAATGATGTGTGTGTGTGTGTATGGAGAGAGAGATAGTCGGTGTCATTTAAGTCGTTACTAGAAAGAACACATTTAATATATAAAAGAAACACTTTCACACTAGGTATAAAGTCTTTTGTTTATGACATTATTATTATTATTATTATTATTATTATTGTCTGATATTTAAACTTTATACATTCTAAAACATGTTGGGTGTACTTCAAGTTAACATTATTTTGTTCATACTTTTTGACGCATATATTATGCTTATGTCATATTAGGGGTAATTATGATGGCATGCACAAATAATTTGTCTTTCTGCACTAACTTTTACAACTCTGTAATTATTGTCTTTTGTTATTGCAAATGTAAGAAATAGAGTAATGACTATTGATCTGGTAATAGCTAGAAAAGATGGTGGGGTTAATAATAGTTCAACTCACCATTATTAGACCAGACAATATAACTTTTTTGATACTGTGTGTCTGAACAAGAGAGAAAAGCAATAATAATAATAATAATAATAATAGGGCTGAAGCTATAGATAATATGAATATAATATAAATATAATTATAATTATGTAGTATTATTCATATTAATTTAAATCTGCAAAATAATATTACTAAAACCTTGAAATAGATCTAGTTGAGTACACCCCATGCTCCCGTTTAGACTCACCCCTGCATGCTGCAGGTATCACTGCGACAAAGTGTGACAGCTGCTGTCAGCCTGCTGCAAGTTGCCAAATTTAAATATTGTGTCAAACTAAGCTAACAGTTTATCTGCATACAAACAGCTTCTATTTTAACTTGTATAGCTTTACTGTAGCCTTGCTGCCTTGGAAGACAAACGACGGTGGATGGGAGCAGCTGAAAACACCGCTTTTCTTCACCTTTCAGCGTGTTGAACAGCTGGTTTGATTAAGGACTCTCACCAGCTCTTTACCAGTAAAGGTTTAGTAGCGATTACAAGCACTGCTGTTGTTTTATTTCATTCCGCCTGAGTTCACCATCTCTGTAACGGAACCGTCTCTTTGCTCTTTGCTGTTAGTGTATAGACAGGCTCCAGCTCCAGGTTAATTAAACTACGACAGCATCATTTTCAGTGCAGTTGTGTTATCCTGCCCCGATCGTCCGCTCCTTCCGTGTGCCACGCCCCCTCATTAACCTCGTGTGGGATCCCCATGTGATCAGCTGTTTCTGGTTGTTGTCATTAGTCCTCTGTATTAAGTCCGCGTTTCAGTTTGTTTCCCCAGTCTGGTCATTGGGTGTGTTCGACTTGCTTACAGTGCTGGCTTAAAGCAACGCATTCTGATCCTGACGCAATGCATTACGGTTAGATGCATTGCAACCTCTCACCCGGTTGCACAAACTGGAACCGCCTCCATGACGACACACCTTTGCCCTTATTGGCTGAAGAGTTTAGTTACATGCATGACGTTTGTATCCCAGGCAGTTCCGATGCGTAATCTGCCATTTCTCCCGAATATCACATAAAGCAGTGAGAACTGGTTTTCAGTTAATTTACCTGGTAAAATAAAGTTTAAATAAATGACATAAATGCTCTAATAGTACACGTAAGTTAGTGGTTTATTTATTGTTAGTTACTGTAATGTTGCGCTGCTTTATTTGGTTAATCGTCCAGTCTGTGAAGAAAGCATTCAAGTAAGAATTGCATTGTAGTATGACTCATTTCCCATTTGCCGCGTACAGTTTATATTAGGTCAGCGTTCACGGTTCGAGTTCTAGGTCAAACGGGTTTGTTCGACTTAAGAAATTCGAGTTCTAGTGAGTTTGAGAACCTAGGTACTACTGTATTTTCACTTTTCTTTTGTTTGAAATGGTCCCAAACTTTAGACATTTTTCATCTTTTTCTCTGACTTTCCTCACTATTTTCCCTGTCTTCCTCCATTGCACCATCAAATCAAACCTGCTACACGTAATGCAGCGTAAGCACACTGTGCGACAGTAATAATCCTCCAAGTGAAACGCGGTGATCACTAAGCAGTACATAGTCGTGCGGATTACACGAAGCATTGAAGCAAAGAATTTGCATCGAGGATTTTTTGTAATCGAGTTATTCGAGTTACTCGATGAATCGTTGCAGCCCTAAATAATAATAATGACACTAAATTCAGTCTTTGCCTACCTCATCTTCTTCTCCATGACACACAGGACACATATGTAGGTGAGAGCAAGCTTAGCAGCGAAGAGCAGCCACCTGCAGCAGCCCCTGTGGAGCTGGGGTTAAGGGCCTTGCTCAAGGGCCATCAGCATGTGACTATTCTGCCAAGGGCTTGAACTGGCAACCTTCCGATCACAAGCACAGAGCCTCAACCCACTGAGCCACACGCTGCCCCTATTCAAATGGATCCTGCACATTGCTGGTGCTAAAAACCCATACTTTAACATTCTTCCTGTTGAGATTAAAATGGCTAGCATGTCAAGCTACTCTTCACAAGTATTTATGTCCGCCATAAATACACTTTGCAACCTTAGTCTATAGTTCTTTATGATCTATGCTACAAAATTAAACACAGGGACAAGAGCTTGCCTTTGCTGCCCTAGATGAAGAGGAAACATTGCTAGGACCTCTCATCAACATATCAGCAGACTGTGTGGAAGCAAGTACGACGGAATCAGCCAGCACTGGGACCAGTGACAAAAGATACCTAATTTACCACCAATTTCCATGGCCACGTGAGACCTATCATTTGCAGGCATACTACTTGTATGCCTTTATATTTACATGTTGGGTAATGTATGATTCTGTTATCAGAGGGTGTAGCATTTTAGTGATCTTAGCTAATTATATGGTCTGTTATGTTGCTTGTAAATTCAGCAGATAGTTTTAACAATTTAGCCTAAACAATTTTGTGAAAGATTGAAACAGTCTGCACTTGAGTCATGGCTCAGATGGTTTCTGCTTGGGCAAACTGGTAGGATAACTTCCTTGTGGTTTGCATTTATTTTATATCTAGTCATTTCACTTCCCCTTTGTCATTTTTGAAGAGAGACATTTCATTCAGTGTGTTTTTTTCTCAACAAAAGGCTCACTGAAGATTTTACATCTGCTGCTTTAATACTAAATATAGTTTAAACTAATATCTGGCGATAGAACAACTAGCATTGTTCATGGACTCAATATGCCTGACAAAAGAACATAATGTCTAGAATATCTCCATCTGCAAAGTGTCTCCATAGCCCTGAATGGAAAGTCAAATCTCCTGTGTAAGTACTTAAGAGTCATTACTAATGACTCTTAAATAAATAAAGAAATGGCTGAATGTGGTACTTTCAATGAGAGCTGCACTAACTGGGGCTGCTATATAGTGATTTATGACAATTGGGATCTGTTTATGCCCCCAATAATCTCAAATGTTTTTTTTTTAAAGCAGGTATCTGTTTCCCCATACTACAGTGGTCAAAATATTACTGTGATTAAGTTGTTTTTTGTGAAATAGTAATCTGAATTTACACTTACAATGGTGTATTAAAACGTGTCTTACATGGATTAATAGATTGGAATGTGTAGTATCTTTCACTGTTGATACTTTTAAATACAGGTACTGTTTACTTATACTCGATTAGTATTTTCCTTGGTGATTTTATTTGAGTAACATTCAGGTATTGTATCTGTAGTTAAAACTAAGTATTTCACAGACAGTACAGCACAATAAGGAAAACTAACATATTTTCTTTTTATTCATAAAAGATGGTGAAAATTGCAGAGCTTACCGGCACAGAATAGCAGAATTTCTTTTTTTATTCTGTGGAAAATGAACGATTGATCTGCTGGCCAGATTTGATAATGAATTATAAACTTTATGGGATAGTACTTTTAGACCTCTTAAAAGTGGTGACTGAGCCTATGAAATCCCTCACCCTCCGTGTGGAAAAAGGCTGATCGTCCAATGCAGTCATCTCCATTATTTCAGTAGCAGCTCTAGTGCTACTAACTTTGAATATTGATGAAGTTTAAAATATCAGAAGTCGATTTTTGGTATGTTAACCGATGCATGTTATATATGTTAACATATTGCTTGTTTCACCGTATTAAAGACAATATGTAATGTAAAATAATAACAATGATGAAAACAACAATAAAACTCAACAAAACATATTGCTCAAGAATCGTGTCACAATCTCAATTCTAAGAGGCAAAAAAATTTCGATTCAGCCCACAGGTAATCTGTGTCAATCGTGTCATAGGCATATGCACGTCTTCATGAACCGGCTTTAAATATGTTACTGCATTCTACTCCGCACAAGCAAAGAACCAGAGTGCAGTGATTCAGCACAGCTTGTTGCGCATTACCTCATATAACCTTCCTTCTGGATTCCGCAATATGAAAGACATATACAGTACTGTCTAAAAGTCTCAGGCTGTCAAAGAAAATGTGGAAAGCTTTTTATCTGCATAATAAGTACACACATGTTCAAAAAAAAAAAAAAAAACACAAACAGCCCAGCCATTCTACATATTTATCACCACCTGCTCATTTTATTAATTAATTTAATTAGTTTAATAACTCAAAGAGGTATTGATTAGCCAAACAAAGTGCGCTAGCGGCCCAGTCAAAAGGTACATGGGTGTACTGCATGGTTGCTGAAAATACTGGAGTGAGAACAGTTCTGAAATGGCCTGACTTGACTAACATTGACTGACATAACATAATAATCTTCTACCAACCGGAAGACCACTTAGACATATCACGTAGCACATTTTGACTTCTTAAGACTTTTGCGCAATACTCTAAACAAAGCTCTTTGAGCTATAGCAACAAGCCACATGTGGTTGTTAGAGCTTGGGTCTTCTGTGGTTAAACCATAATACGATGTATTCTGGATAAATCTCATTCAGTCATCCAAAAACCTGGTCCACCAACATTTACACAATACACGATGATGCAGAATTTAACTTTAGTGTGACAGAGTGGAAAATTGTTCATTTGTTAATTAATGGTCATCTTTCTTACCACCAATAAGGCTATTTTGTAACTCTGGATTAACCAGATCTATAAAATAAACCTGCTTTCGATAGTATTTCTTTATGACATTGGCATGTAAAATGCAGATATTGAGATTTTTTGCTGTTGTGTAAAAATGGCAATAAATCAGCTCATTACAGAACATTGGTATGGTGGCCATTCCTCAAATGCAAGGACAAAGGGCATAAGTACTTACTCTGTCTGTTGCTCCTGCCCAGAGAACCAGCAGAACTGGGTCTGCTGGCCTGCTGTGGGCCCGATGATGAGAATGTAGGCGTGGGGGCTGAGGCTGGGGCCAAAGGTCGAGGCCTACGGGGACTTGTTCCATCATTGTCAGGGGTCCGGGGAATTTTTGGCCGGCTAGCAAATCCAGGAATCTGATCGCTAAAAAGATAATGTTTGACATTAAAAACCTTCCTGAAAACCCCACGACACATGTAAAAATGCAAAGGTAGAAGGTAAATATGGAGTTGTTCTGAAAACAATAGTACACATGCAAGGTTGTGTGCATATGTTAATGTAATGCACATTGTAGCCTCGACTTCGCGTTTTTGATGCACGTCTTAGTGACAAAATTGCCATGTCATATATAGAGTTTCTGCCTTTTAATTGTTCTGGATAAAGCAAAACCACAACCCTATCCATCCATCCCTTCATCCATCACTCACCACAGAGGTCCAGAACCTATAGCAGAAGCTCATTCTAACCCATTATTATAAAAAGCAGCTATGCTCAGTGCAGGTTATGATTGTATGACACAGACACTTACAAGTCACACAGAACACTGAAGCTGATTAAATGAAAAGGCTTACAAGGAGTTATCTTGTGTATCAAGGCTTTCGTGAGATTTATGAAAACCGAATAAAGCTTTTTGAGAAAGGGCAGTTTATACAATACACCAGCAGGCTTGTTGAGATTAATGATGAAGTTTGCATGAAGATCTCATCCTCTCCTCGATAATGATAATAGGAATCAGGTACACATAATTAGTACCTGGTAGGACCCGCCTCAAACTATTTTACAGATAGACTAATACGAGCAGCAGCATATTAACACTGGCATGGCTCACAGGACCCCCAAGGGGGTGCTGGCGTTTCAACTTGCCAAGCAGGGGGTGCCAGTTAGGGTGACCTCCTAATCCATGTCGGAGGGACACTATGAGCTACTTCAGCTTTTACAAACTACTTTACAACTGAAAGGCTCCTGTGTTCAGCAAAATTGTTCTTTTACTGGTTTGTTTTCTTAACTGAAAGACTCATCCATCACTGTAGTGCCAGCACATTGACTAGACAAATTTCACAGATTTAACCATTGTGATCTTGCTGGAGCCTTAAGCTATAAGCTGTTTTCCATTTACCTTGGAGGCCGAAAGTCGGAGCTGGGAATGACATCACGCCTGAGGTAAGAGCATTCCAGTACAATAAGTCTGTAAGCCGCTCAGCAATACCAGATCTAACCAGGTATGTTGTTAGCCATTGTTAGCAATTCCAGTTGATAACCATGCATTGCACAGTAGTTTCCACATACAATCACTGTAGCAACATGTATGCAGATAGAGCTTGGACATACAACGTAGACCGATTTAATGAGACACAAACAAGACAGAAGTGCCAATAAGCAGTATTTAACTGCAGCTTTCACTTCTGAGGTTGGGGCTGCAGAGGGAGTCAGAATTCTGAAGTCGGGGGCATTCCATTTAAAATTTCTGACTAGGAACTTGGACATTTCAACTCCCAGTTGAAATGGAACGCAGCAGTAGCCTATGCATTAAACTACCCCGGCCAAGCCCGACAAAACAGAACTGGAGAATAAGCCTGGAAGCAGCTCACACTGAAGGAGATACCTACCTGCTGAAGCTGCCGGTGTACTCCCCTTCTGCCAGTGGGGGAGGGGCTTCAAAGCGTCGGCTCAAACCCGACTCCTGAGAGGAGCGCTCACTCTCCGAGTCCATGACTGTGCGGCATGGGAAGAATGTGCAGTGAACTGAATGGCATCAGACTGAAAACCATGGCTCCCTTATAAGCACTTAGGAGTTTTTAATTATTTAGTTTACTTAAATTAGTTATTTTACAACTACTGTTAACAAAACAATTATTAGCTCCCTGTCCAAAATTTGACAAAATCCTTAATTTTTTGTAAAAAAAATGACTATTATTTAGAGTCTAAACAACAGACACAATGTCCAAGAAGTTTGATAAAAATATTTTACTGATGCATTAAACTGAAAACAAGGAAAACACAAAAATAGCATGGCCAAAATTGTTAGCCCTCTGAAAATTAATAGTCATTAGTGTAGTCCTTCTGACTCACGACTGATAACCTCTAACTGTAGTTTCTCACAAGGTTTGCAAGTCTCATGAGGGATCTTAGACCATTGCTCCACGGCAAATTGCTCCAGCTCGTACAAATTAGATTGAGTGTGGACCTTAGCCTTGAGATTCTCAACAGGATTGAGATCTGGGCTTTGAGACAGCCACTCCATTACCTTGATTGTGGTGTTCTTCAAAAAGTTCTGGAGCAATTGTGATGGGTGCTTTGGATTATTTCCTTGCTGAGCAATGACCAAAGCCAGACTGGCGTAGATTTCTAAAAATTATCCTTTAAAATGTCAATGTAATCAACTTTCTTCATTATGCCTGTACTTAAGCAAGGTTCCCTGTGCCTGAAGCAGCAAAACAACCCCACAGCATTATGGTCCCACCACCATGTTTAACTGTGGGAACTGTGTTTGGGTTGAAGGCCTCTCCTTTCCTTCACCAAACAAAAGCTGTATCCATGTGCCCAAACGACGCCAGTTTTGTCTCATCAGACCAAAAGGACAGAATTCATCCCCATATTTCAAATGGTCCTGGGCAAACTAGCTTTGATATGCCGCTGCGTGAACAATGGAGTTTTCCATCCCCGATGACCTTGAAGCTTCCCACAACTAAAAGTCCTCACAACAATTGCTTTTTGAGACTTTAGTCATAAGTACAGTAGAGGCCAGTTTGAAGACAAAGGCCTTTGCAGTGATTCGGAGGTCTTTGTTGGCATCTCTGATTATTTTACTCTAAACAACCCCATAGCCATCCCCTGTAAGATGAACATCCAACTCTTTTTACAAAAAAATGGAAGGGTGATGGCCTCTCGATCTTGCCTTTAAGTACCCCTAGTCCTGCTCATTTTAGTCCATTTATTAGTGTGGTGCTAATTGGTTGAGCCAATCAAGTCATATGGTATTCAGGTGCGGTTTGACACCAGAACATCTAGTTTTACTGCAATCCTTTTGAGATGACTGACAAATTCACATGGGGCTAATGATTTATTTATTTTCAATAAAGTTGTTATCCAGCAATATTGATTTTGTTTATTAAATTAAAAATGGACCAGGTGGAGGTTTTTACATTGACAAATGTTCTACTTTGTAAAGTTTGAAAAATTGTTAAAATTGTACGTATATGTAAGGAAAATGTCCCATATCTCATAGGGGGCTAATAACTATTGCCTTAATTGTATATATCAAATGATATATTTTGCCATATAGTCCCTTCTTCTGTCCCTTTAATTTGCACCCAGTGACCATTTCATCAGGTGCACCTGATTAGTAACTGGTAGAACCTGTTTGACTCTAGAGCTATTTTAAAGATAGACTATGGAATGTTCAGCTAGTTTTTCTGCATTCCTATGTTATTTTTCACCTTCCTGTTAACTTTAAATAGTCTGCCTATTCTCCTCTGACCTAACTCGATGTTTTTTATTTGGTCCCCAGAAACTGTATAGACTGCAGTGTGTAAAAAATCCCAGGAAGGTGGCTGTTTCTGCCACATCTGGCACCAACAATCATACCACTTACAAAATTACTTAGAAAAGGCATCTTAGCTGTCCTGATGTTCTGCCAAACAATAAGCAAAATGACCTTGGCTGTGTGCTGAATGTATTCAGCTGCAGTCACATGATTCACCGTTTGTAAGAGCAGGCTGTTAGCATTAGCATAACCTAAAAGACTGACCATTGAGTGTGTACTTTACCAAGTTGTACATTTACAGCGAGAGCACATTTATATTACAGGCAGATATGACTGAGAGCTGAAGCATGTTTATACACTATGCACTGCACCCCAGACCCTGACGTATTTTGTTTCGTTCTCTGCAGAAATATTTAACCCTTGGAAGACTGAAGGCTCTAGACAGGCACATTAGAGAGTAAGTTTAGAATCATTTGAAAACATCGCAGTAAGACCAGGAAATCTGACTGGCACTGTTCATTATAAAGCGGGCAGACATTAAACTGCTTTGTACACACCAGTCGCATAATGCAGTTAGTGAAGCCAAATTCAGAAGCACAAGCTTTACCAAAGGCCTTGATTTAAAGTGATGAACTCCTCTTTGCATTAAGTGTGTATGACCAGGTTACACAGTCATTTTTCAGCAATAAGATTTGTAGTTCTCACATACTATGACCCATGGATAGTTTATGTATGAGGGGAACGCAGCAGGTGTCCCGGGGTGGGCAGTAGTCAGGCAGTCATTCACCTGTGGACAGTTCCGAATAATATGAGACTTACTTATCTTTTCCTCTTAACCCTCGACACACCCAAGCCTTGCTGCCACATCTGTAAGCCCAGTGTCCACATTGTTTCTTTTCCTGTGCCTGATTTATTTGTTTTATTATATTGGATTTTTTGAAGTCACATTCCTATTCCCCTCTCACCTGTTCAGAGTCTTACAGCATGCATTGTAGAACAGAGGGGTTCTATTTAAACCATTTATTTAAACTACATGAGAAGGATTCGTCATTAACCATCTGGGAGCTGCTCACATGCCGATCACGTACCCAGCAATGGGTGCACAGAGTTTGCACTGCTGCTGCGAGTCGGGGGCCGGGAGTCACTGTCAGAGCAGGGGAGGCTGTCCTTGCTCCTCCGGCGGGACAGCGGGGGCTGAAAGTTACTGCCTGAACGAAAGTCCCTGGGACGGAAGACAGAGAGGCTGGTGGCTAAAAGCGACCAAACACCTTGGCTGTGCTTTTTCTAATGTTATTGTGGCTACTCTGCCAACCATAGGACTTGAAAGCAGTCTTCCATTTACAGGCGCAGATCCTGACCCACACGCTACCCAGCTCTCGCTCACAACCTTGCCACCACCAGACCACTGAACCTCACCATGCTGATGTCACCATGTTAGATCTGTTCGCTGACACACAAGAGCAGAATGTAAACTAACTGGCACTTTTGATGCACCACCCCACTATTAATGTCACTGACCAACAGGATCAGGCAGCAGAGGCCCTCTTTATACACTGACTCACTGTTTGATCAGAGGGCTGTACTGCCTTTTTTCTGAGGCTCATTAAATGGACTCTCAGAAATTCCAGGCAGGACCAGCAAGTGACAGCACCTTTGACAAAACCATACCTTGTACTACAAATGAGGAGCCTTTTGTTTAAAGTACTAGGGAACAATCAAGAAAATGACTGCATAAACTAATGAGTAACTTCGTAACCATTTAATAAATATAATCCTTATATCCCTCTTTAGCTAATGAAACTAGCTGAGCTCTTACTGCAGACATGATCAATTGATCATGATTGGACCAAAATAGTTATGTGACACATGCAGTTGGAAGATAATAAAACAGATAAAATGTGTACAATTTACAAAATATACAGCTTGGCTTAAATTTAAATAGAATAATAAAATTGTGATTTACATGTGTTAAGGTGTTAATTGTGAAATGAAAAATGAGTTTGGCAGCTTTAGTAACATAATGAGAGCTAAACAGGTTGTACCTGCGGCTGCAGATTAGAGTTGGGATTGGATATCGTGGTTCTGCCTTCCAGAACCATGACACAATTGTGAATATTTGTATCACGGTTTCAAAACCATTACACCATTAATAAACACACCAGCATGAGGTTTAAAATAACTGCCTGAAAAAGGATGGTAATGATAGAACATCAGTTTTTCTAACAAATAAAAGCGAGACCAAAATGACACAAAGAGAAAATTTGAAACTGACCATCCGTAAGATGAATGTAAAAGTACCAGAAAATCGGACAGTAATGGAAAACATAGTCAAAATACTGCATATTGCTGAGTAATCCCTGGACAGTAATGACGATATGAAAGATTAAATACTGTTCAAGCCTAGTCTGTGCACAGCTGACTTTAGGTATATGGATAAATTCTGGTATATGGATAAATTTCACATTTGATGTAAAAGAAAACAATACTCAGTGCAAGCTGTGCAATAATGGGGGGAAAAAAACACCACAAATTTGAAGCACAACAAAATTAATACAACAAACAGTTCACTGTCATGAATTAAACCAGGTGTGGAAATACGCACAACCCAGTTGGTTTTCACTGATACATACTTACGTTTTTAAGAGTGGAGAGCTGAGGTTCTATGCATTGGTGTTTATTCTTATAACATGAATGAAGATGCATCATATGCAGGTATTTTGTTTCTGACTAAATTTTAGTTATATTTTATTTAATAAAGTTAATATGAAGACATTTTAGAATTAGTGCATGTTTCATATTACCACAGTTAAATCTGTGTCCTTAAAGACTGCATGTTCAAACCTATTGCCATGTATATGTGTAGGTATGTCTGTGAAATTTCAGTGAAATTTCCAAAGAAATGTGAAAATGATGCATTAAATTATGACTAAACCGGTTTGTATCACTGACTGCATCTACTGTAGATTTAGTTGACTAAGTATTCTGTAATACTAAAACTAGAAACTAAATTGCATTTTTTTTTCCAAAAGACTAAGACAAAACATAAATCAAAATTTGCTATCAAAATGAACACTGCTTCCTGCTGAAATTATGCCTGCTTATGAGGTGCAGAAGGCATTATAGGTGCCTCAGAGTATCACTGCAGAGGGACATAGAGATGAAACAGCCAGAGGGTCCTCGTGGGCCAAGGTGCCAACATCAACACAAAAATGGGGTTTTCTATAAGCAACATTTCAATTAGTAACATTTTCATTGCATTCATCAAATGGAAAAATACCGCACTTAACAGAAACACGTATATAGACTTACACCACGTAGACATTTCGGTGTGAACTGGGGGTCACTGGCCGTTGAAGAGGTTCGTCGATGCTCTGGCCCAGTGGGGTTGCTGTCCTCCTCTTGGATCTGACCATATTGGTCATGATCTGAAAGCCAAATCAAGCATCCATGTTTATTTCTATCCAGAAGTATAAACATACCTGGAAAGACCATGTGCAGGAAATATTCTGATTTGACAAGTACACTGTCAATCATCAGACTAGGAAAACCACATCTATATGCTGCATAAACAGAGTAACAATCACTACATTCGAGTTTCTCAACAGTCACAATTGTCACCACTTTTGTGTTGGACTGAGTGGTCCAAGAGGCATACCCCCAGGTACTCCGTGGTGAGGAGGGATTCTCCCGAGAGCTCCTCGAGCTCCGGCTGAAGCACCTCCTCTTTGTCGAGGTCTGCCTCCATTGCATCGTCCTGTGAAAGAAATACCATGTAAATTTACTGAAATGAATAAAAAGGTGGCAAGCTAAAGAAGCCAAGTGAGTGGCTGGGAATCACCCCGTGATGTAGTTTGGTAAAAGGGGATTCATGGCCTCATGCTGAGAAAGAGCAGGTTCTGTGAGGACAGTGAAGATCTGGTCATACTTCTCACCATATGGACATGCAGCTACGCTTATAATACAATCGACATTAACAGTATTTTTGTATGATTTATTTATGAAAATTAGATTTCAGACTAAGATCATTCAAGTTGGTTGTATTGCATCTTTCCCTTGGGCTTCCTGGAACATATAATCATCTCTGCACATCCTAATGGTAAAATGCAGACACTCACATGCATCTGAAGATACATACCCCAGCACCCTTCATTCTATCCTCCATCTAGCATTCACTGTAACGTTTACATAGTTATTCTAAATGGACACTGAATTAATATTCACTGTCATATAGGCTTTTATAAATAGTAATCCTTAAAGTAACTGCAATCTGATTATTTTAGACTGTAATTTAATTACAAGTACAGTGGAACCCACTTATAGGGATCACGTCTGTGTGGGTGAAATTGATCACTATAAGTGGACGATCATTATAACCAATTTTTTTCTTCTTTATGTCTCAGGCAGATTACCATCTAATTCACGTATGTATATTTATTACACAAATATAAGGTAATAAAACGAACAGCGTCACTGTTTACTTAATTTTACTGATGATTTCAAAGTACAGTACAGCTGTTTCAAATGTTTTTCAAATTATAGTACTGTACAAATTAAATTACTGAACTGTGTATAATTTAAATACAGTATAATGCAGTACAGTACTGCACATAATATTCAATTCCATTCAATTTTATTTATACAGTCCATTTTCACAGCTTTACATTATCTTAAAGCCATTATTGTATTTTCACTGCTGCCTCTCGGTGGTTCGTTTTTGCCAGTTTGTCATAAGCTTTGATGAGTCTGTATTTGTCATTGAGAAAAAAATGGCATTCTTTTTCCCCACTAGGTTATCTGTGCAGGCAGCATTAGCCTCAGGTAGCTAGCCAGAAGCAGACAGGGTAATTACTGAAAGGCAATGTAGGGCGATCAAAGTAAAGCAAAGGTTTTTTTTTTTTTTTTTTTAAAAAACAAAAAAAGAGTTTAAAAAAAACCGGGGGGGGTTGGGGGGGGGGGGGGGGGGGCAATATTATATGCTTATATAGGATCCAAAATCCCTAGCGGCACCCCTGCCTATACCTCGCACTGGGCAAAATTCCTCTTTTTTTTTTTTTTTTTATTTATTTACAGTTGCTATCATCCAACTTTGCAACCAGAAAGGCTTGATTTGCGTGTTATATGAGTATGCAGTTTGTTTGCATTGACCCTTTATGGTTATTTCTGGGCTGTACGGTTATTTGTGGGCTGGTCAGGATCTCAAGCTTGTGCACATATGCACATTTACAGGATAGACCTGAAATTTCCAAGGGGACGTGTGTATGCCAAGTCTGATAAATCTGATTTTTTTTGTGGATTTTTTCTGAAAAATGCCATCTTCCCATTCTTCTTCACAACAGGCAATCCTGCAGAGAGAATGAGTTTCGGCCATTGACCTGATGGTACGGATGTGCCCTATGGTCACACTCCCGGGACGACAACTTTAGCAAAATGTTGGACAGCTGACCTCGTCATCATCCTCTTCCTCTTCATCATCTGATTCAGGTCCATCTTCAGATACTTCCCCTTGTATAAACACCATCGGATAAAGCCGCAGATATTTTTTGAAAATAAAACATGTTATAATGAAAACAGGATAGTGTCCCTTGTGGTGCCACACAGGATTTCAAGCCTTACCTGAATTGAGCTGCTTGATGATGAACTCTATCTGCCGGCTCAGCTCGGGATTCCCCTCCTTAGCGTAGCAGCGCAGTATCTCCTCCAGGCTCTGAGGAAACGAGGAGGGAGAGTGAAGGACGGGCCGTGTGCCGGCAGAGCCGCACTGAGAAGAGGTGCCTTGGCTCACCATCTCCCTGGCTTTGCCTCTCACAGCAGGGATGCCCAGGATGCTGTACAGAGCACCATTCACGTACGGCCGGATCTGCAGTCACACATGGCAGCAATTGGCAATGCCCGCAAGGCAATAAAAAGAAAAAACACACAAACTATGACAGGAAGATGGCAATTTCCTAGTGGCAGCAGCAGAGGAGGTAACTAACTCGCATGAATGAAAAACCACAAAAATGGCACTGATTCAAAGAAAACAAAAAAAAAAAACAAAACCCTATGCAAGATAAAATTGTTTCAAGTTAGATTCGTCTGGTAGCTGAAGCAGCAACCCAGGACACTGGTGCTGATACTCGATGTGCCATGTGCACAGCATGGCTTCCTGGCGTGGTTCACCTCATCGTTTTCATGTCCCAGTAGGTCTGTGAGGACCCTCAGTACTTGGTCAGCTCTCTCGGCACACTTCTTCCTGCCTGTGGAGAGTGTGATTGTGGGGGAGATGACCATAAGAGGGGAAAAGAACAAAAAAAAAAACATTAGGAGAAAAGGGGACTATGGCGGAGCTTCCAGCGATCCCCCCTGGGGGCTTGCAGGGACAAACAGTGGCCAGAGAGCTCACCTTGGCTTCGTAAGCAGAGGTTCATAAGTAGCGCCACGGAGTACTCCAGAGTATAGTCTGAAAGACTGTCCGACTCCTGCAGCTCATCCACCAGCCAGGAGATCAGCCCGTGCTCGATCATGGCCGACTGCTGAGGCCTCCTGCAGCCACGCACAGATGCCGCGATGAGCGTATACTCACAGAGCACCGTGCAAACTTATTCCTACTGGAAGCAATACTATTTTGTTTAGAAGGCCCCATTATTGAAGAGGGGGACAATCTTTCCCTCCTTCTTGCACATCACAAGCTTTCCCTCCCGTGTGGGTCTATTCTTACGAGGAAGACCATTTTGCACGTCATATTTAAAGTACCAGTCTATAGTCTATAGGACACACTAACCCATATAAAGGTTTGTTTGTACTATTTTCTACATTTTAAAATAATTATAGACGTCCAAACTATAAAATAACATACATTGAATTATGCACTGGCCAAAAAATTAAACAAAAAAATTAACTTGTTGGGGTGGGGTGGGCAGCTCTATGAGTTGGGACTCAGGAGGTTGCTGGTTCAAATTCCGTGGTTGGCAGAGCGATCCCACCATTAGGCCCTTGAGCTAGGCCCTTAACCCCAATTGCTCTAGGGACTGGCTGACCCTACTTTCTCCTCCACACCAGTTTCATGAGGTGGCCTCCTGGGATGCTTTTCCAGCTGTCCTGAAGGTGGTCCCACATATGCTGAACACTCATTGGCCACTTTTCCTTCACTCTCTGGTCAAACTCTTCCCAAACCATCTCTACAGTGTTTAGGTTATGTGGCCAGGTCATGTCATGCAACACTATTGCTCTGCTTTGTAGGCGGCTTGGCATGTCTAAATCTTTGACTAGGACTGTATGTTTAGTTCATTAGGTGACATTTGCTCAAGGAGACATTTTTACCCATTTATACAGCTGAATTTTTCACTAGAGCAAATCTGGTTCAGCACCTCTCTCAGGTCCGGCCTATCAGATTATAAGTCCATGTCCTAATCACTATGCCACCTGCAGCTCATGAAGGTACCTGAGACTGAGCTTCTGCAAAGCACCTAGAACATTCTCCCTCGTCACTGAATCCTTCCTCTCGGTCTTCAAAGCACGTTCCAAAATTTTCATCAGGGAAGGGATCTGTGAGAGGTACATGCGTCCTGGCCGGAGGAAACAGGAGCAGGTGAGTTATCATCAGCCACTTGATGACTCCAACCACCATAATGGAAAAATTCATTTCATGACCAACCTCATAGAAAGATTAGTGAACAATTGCAAAAAATATACGAATACAATTGCTGCAATAATTGTTGGATTATAATTGTTGGATTATAGACAAAGTACCTGTTTTGTCGACGATTCTTCAAAAAAACCTTAGACACTCACTAACTAATTCTAACAAATTATGTTCTTAGAAATATCATAAAAGAAATTAAATTTTAGAACTGATTAGCAGGCAGCAATTGATGCGCATGTGCAAAGGTAAAATGACAAAACCAAGATAAAAATGAGAGCGGGAGGCTGACCTTCAGAGAGGGAAGCGAAGGCGTTAAGCAGCCGTGCCGTGTACTGCCTGACAACCTCGTCGCTCGACTTCATCAGACGCAGGACACCTTTCTGTAAGGGAAATGCACACCTGTGGTTTTGGGCCAGCACTGGCAGCATTGACTATCTCGGTTTCATCTTGCTACCATGTACATGCAAACATCCTGTTACCACATATGTACTTACATGCCTCAGGCTTATTCTTTAAGTGCTGTTTTTAACGCGCGTGAAACTCAAAACTTCTTAATTCTGGTGCATATAACAAGAACAAGGTGCACAAACAAACATACATATAACACCAAATACCACTTAAAAAAGGAGCATGCTGTTTATGAGAACCTTGGCATGGTTTAGCATGCAGGGATCAGACATTGCCACAGAAAGGACTCCACTTTATTGGATTATCCTTTGAGGAAGTTCCTCTAATCCAATAGGCCTCTAGTCACTTTAACTAGAAACATGGACTCTGCTCTGGCTATCTGATCTGAGCTTCCGTCATTCTGTGGTTTTTCCGAGCAGGCTTGCTGTTGTCCAGCTGAAAGCTGCAAATGTAAATAAGTGCTTCCCACAGCTGGAGGATGTCACACACAAGGCTGGATACGGTCACACAACTCTGACCTTACAGGCTTTGCCTCTACCGGCATTACAGAAGCCTCAGCAATACAGAGGTTTATTAGAAGAACTATACCTGGGTGATAATGTGCTGTGGAGGCGTACGACAGTGTGCTGTACCTGGCCATTCGTGTGGCGATCCAGGAGATCATTCGCAACAAAGGCTTGCAGCACCGTGTCCCTCTGCTCACCGGGAAGCGATCGGGTCAGCCTCTAAGAAGCAAACACGAGAAAAAAAGGACTACTTAACACTAGTAATGTGCAAATCCTATTTGACATCATGCTTAGTTTGTACATAGCATGGCCAGTAATGACACAAAGAGCGATCATGATGCAATACAACATCAGACAGGAGCTCTGGGTGCAAAGACACAATGGGGAAAAAAGCGTAAATTCGGCCCTAAGCATTTAGTAAATGCATTAGTATTCCAGGGAATCTGTGAGAAACCCTTGGCGTGTAGAGTGTCGAGCCGGCACCCCACCTCCCCTGCTCTTTCAGCTACGTGGTCGGTGGGGTAGCCCAACACGCTTCCAGGGACAGGCATCCAGGGGCAGTCTGGCTTTCCTTACCCATCGCAGCGCCTGCAGCAGCAGCGCTTTTAGCCTGTCCGTTCCGCTGCTCAGGTCCTTCTTCAGCCTTTCATAGTCCAGAGACGGTAGCAATGGCACATCTTTGGGCTTGCTAATTGCGAGAGAGCAAGGCTTAGAGGATCGCACAAAATGAAAATAAAAAAAAAGAATTTTCAAAGATTTATCTCAAAGTAACAAGTCGGCTGGAGCTGCAAGTGCCTCCTACAGAATGGAAATGCAATGACCAATGCTGTTAAAAAAATAAATAAATTACAAAGGAAAAAAATCACTGATCTCAGCTCCCTGACAACATGCAACAAAGTAAATGAAGACATATCATACAATTAAAAATTGTTAGAAGAATATTAATATTCTCAATATTAATATTACAATCAACATTCATAAAACAAGTTACAACGATTTTTACTTTTGCAACTAAATTTCAGTCTGCTGCTTTTTAATGTAACCAATTCTTTAAATTATCTGTAGATAAGTCTGGCTCAGGCAATTACTGTTGCACAAAACCCAGTACTCAGCAGAAGAATGGCTCATTAAGGCGGTGTGTAGGTCTCACTCACGGAGGTGCAACGGATGCTCTCAGCATGGACGAGGCCTGCACAGAGGCAGAGGCAGAGGCAGAGAGAGAGAGAGAGAGAGAGAGAGAGAGAGAGAGAATGAGTTATTGCAACATCTGCTCTTCCATGATGAATGAGCCAGTAAGCCCAACTCACAGAATGTCAGTTTAGGTTGAAGCTTTTCAAGTAAAAATACACATTTGGGGTTAGGTGTGGTACACTATGAGGATTCTCTCATGCAATCCTGGGATGCACATGACGTAGGTAGAAATGGCCATGCAGTACATTACAGAGGGAACACCCGGAATCGTGAGGAGTTAGTGTGAAATGTTGGCGTGCTGATATTCACACAGTCCATGGCCTGTGACCCCTTGTAGCAGTCAATAATGCAATAATTTTTCCATTCTTAATGCAGTCAAAAACTGGCCAATAATGTTTTTTATTCTGAGATTTTATATTAAGAATGGAAATATTATGTTATTGGCAGTAATTACATTAATGGCAGTTATTACATTATTGGCTGCAACACCCTTGTTTATCAATGAGCACCTCACTTCTCTTTTTACGTTACTGTTACATATATAGCACTCTTCAGAAGTCATTAAACATAAGACAATTTCCCCAAGGGGATCAATAAAGTATCGATTATTATTATTATTAAAGACATCATCTGAAAAGGGACTAAGAATTTGCAAGAAGATTTGAAACCTAATGGGATTTCAGAGAGCAGCTGTTCAGCTGGGAAGGTTGCAAAGAGGGATTGTTTATAGAATTTAATTCACAAGTACAGACTGACCTACGTGATGCCCATATAGGCCACAGAAAATGAGAACGTGCCATTTAACGTTCCAGGAGGCAGCCACGCCCCCAGAAGGACCTGTTATAACTCGGTTAGCCCCTGTACTACTTCAGACTATACGTCATATATCTGACATCTTTTGTCAGAAACATACCTGACCATTCAAGTATGATATGTTGGGGTAGGAATGTGCAGATGGGAAGTGGGTATGACCATGTCAGAGAGGACATTTTGAACTACTTTAGATTTTACAAACTACATTAAAACTAAAAGGTTCCTTGGATAAATAGCTCTTGTGCTTTGACTGCTTGGTTTCCTTGATTAAAACACTCATCCAACTGTTTCACATTAACATTAGTGACACATTCATGATTACAGAAGACTGACCAATCAGCACACAACAAGAACTCAGTGCTTAAGTGAAATCCAGGTCCTTTTAACTGAAACGGTAGTTCACAAATCCTGTCCTAGCTAAAAGTGTGCTCCCTGACATTTTCTGGTTTCCCTAAAAGTAGGTGTTTTCCATGACGACAACATAGCTGCTGATCTTAAGACAGATACAGTGGTACCTCGGTTCTCGAACTTAATCTGTTCCGGACTCCGGATTGAATCCTAAAAAGTTCGAGTTCTGATCGAATTTTTCCCATAAGAAATAATGGAAAACCAATTAATTGCTTCCCAGCCCCCCAAAATTACACTTAAATATGTCTTTTTTTCTTTTTTTTTAGCATTTAAACACAAAATGAACAGGATAAAACATGAAGAGCATTTATTTCTTAATGGCTTCCAAAACGATAAAGATCTTATCCCAACATTACCCCTGTCCTGCCCCGATCCTTCCGTGTGCCACGCCCCCTCGTTAACCTCGTGTGGGA